CATTGCCTAGGAAGAAAAATCTTTTATCTGCTTGTTTAATGTACAATCTTTGATGAGATGGAGCTCCTTTCCCCTGAGTTATTTCCCTGAGCATTTTTGTTTTGAAAAAGAAATGGATTTCCAGGTTGAAAGCAGAGCTGCCCTGCAGCTGTCAGAGCTGTGGTAGAGGTGTCTAATTGTCATTTACAATGACCCTCGATTCTTCTCTAAATAGAACATCTCTCCTACCTCGTCTCCTCACCCTTGCTCCGCCTCACAAGCAGGAGTATTTACAGGGCTGGATTCTTCTCTGAGCTACCTCCACCACCACCAGTAAATCATAAAAATTTCTCCTATAATCAATGGAGTGTCTTCACATTTACCAGACAGTATAATCTGGTCCACGAGACAGCTGATTGTTATCTACAACCTCCCCATCCAATTCAAGTGATGGGAGATGTAATCCAAAAATTTCCTTTGGACTTTTTTACTGCCAAAATACATCAAATTCTGTGGCAGCCTTTTTACAATCTCCACTTTTCTAAATAAACATCACACAGCCTCTACTGCCTTTACTGCAAAACACTTCTCCCTGCCTGTATTGAGGCAGGTTGTTAGCTGATGTGCCAACACACAATACAAACCGTGGCAGCATCTCCATGCAAGCCCGTGGTGTGGCACCAAGATGCGGGGTGCAGTGGGGCTCAGGCTGTGGATCCCGAGCTCTCGCTCACCAAGGAGCACTGGGAATAATGGTTAGAAGAGTTGAAAACTCCTTGCACGGACTCCCTCCTAGTTAGACACCGCATGGCGTTGTAAATTATTAGACTCGGCTCACAAAGATTAAAGGCTTGGTGGTATCATGCGCCTTTACATCAAAGGTGCTGGGCAGCTGATGTGTGCGGTGTCTGCATGCAAAAAAGGCCGTAAGCAGAGCCTGCTGAAGCCGGGGGCTGCAGGAATTGATGAGCCAGGTTGCTCCACAGGCAGGGCAGGGGGGACAGGAACAGCTCTCGCAAAGGGCACAGAGCAAAGCTGGGTACTGCCATAGCTCAGTGGCTGGAGAAGTGCTGATGGGTGCGGGTAATGTATTTAGAAGGAATCATTTCAAGTACGTTTCTGGACTGTAAATTAACTGAAACTGCTCAGGAAAAGCCCTGAGTGACACTGAAGGCCATGCAATTAAATGCAGGGCTCTGATTTGCAATGATCAACAAAAAGCAAATACCCTATTAGAATGCACGGCAAATAGAAAATAACACAAAAAATGGTCACATTATGGCTGTACTGTTCCATTATATTAATTAACAGCTTTCCCCTATTGGTTTTTTCACTAAGATTCAAACACATTGATGATGTTCTTTGATGAACATTTGTATTCACAAAACTGTGAATTTCTTCCCAGACTTCTTTTGTTGGGAAGGGTTGATAGCTGTTAATGAGAAAGTGAACAGAGAAGGAGCTAAACAGGATGGGGCCAAAGGAAGCAGGATAGCTCCCACACTCACAAAGAGACTTTTTCACCAGGGCCTTGAATTTTAGAGCAGCTTCAACTCATTTACAGACCCTGGAAATGAAGGAGCCTTGCCTGAAGGAAAATTAAATACTTCCATGCAGTGTTATGACTTTGCCTTGAAGCAGTTGTGGCTCCATGTTTCATTCACGTTTGTGGTCATTTCAACCCACTGAGCTTAACTGTGTAATAAGGGTGCCTGGATGTGGATAATTCTTCCTCCTCCTTTCCCACTGCAATCAGGTTTTGCCCTTCATTATACATTTTTGTGGACTCTATTAGAGCATAAATCTTTACGGAGTTCTTCAAGCTTTGACCTACATCTTGCATACAGGGGAACTTTTCTCCCAAGATTGTCTTTTGGAGCACACCAGTTCATTAAAGTGTTGAACACTGAACCCTCACTCTTATTGCTTTATCGCCTGGCTTATGTGCCGAGTGTCAAAACAGGTGTCAGAAACCTGATTTATGAGGATATATAGAGAAATTGTGGTACCTGCTTGTGACTGGGAGTCAGCTGGCAATCTCCTATCAAGATTTCCTCCTCAGCTACCAGGGCCCAGGCTGGCAGCCCAAAGACAGCCCTGGCAAGGTGGAATTCAAAGATCGTGACTCAGGACTAACAAAGCTTTGAAGCTTTTTGTAATATATTTTGAATTTATGCGCTTTCCAGTTTTAATCGCATTTGACCATGTTGTGCCTGGTTGGGTTTTTTGTGGGTTTTTTTTTCAAGTAAAAGTCAGTGCTGATTTTTAAAAAATGAAAGCAGTCTCCAAATGCCACTATGTGATAGATTTTATACCCGCTTTTTTTCTCCCTTTGAAATATCAGAAAACTACAGATGAATCCATAAGCCAGCAGCACTACAGAACACACAAGCGTTGATAAGAGATCTCAGGTTCCCCTTCTAATTTACCGTTTCATACCGAGTCCGATTTATCTCCTGCTGGCACACCCCACCCCCCTCACCCCACATAACCGGCCCTGTAACAGAAAAGTTGCTTTTTTTAATGTTGTTTTGCACCCACAGCGCCCGCCCCGGCCCCGGCTGGGGCTCTGGGCA